TTGGGACGTGTTAGCATATATAAAGAGGCTAGAATAGATACTTTGTGATATAACTCGGTTTGTTTTATTAGGTTGAAAACCACCTCTTTATTTTTCTGTTGAGAAACATTCCCATGGGTGTTATCGGAAAAAAATAGAGAATGATAAAACCCTATTTCCCGCTTGTGAAAACATCAAAGCTGACCCTTTCTAGTACATTTTGGCAGTCTGTTCTTGGATATATTTCTAGGTCTAGAGAGTGTATGAGAGATTATGTGTTAGGAACAAATAGAATGATATATGTGGGCAAGCACTTGGAAAGGATACCTGTACAGTCACTGAAGTTTTTCAGAATGCTATCCCTTATCTATACATTTTCTGTCCTTATTTGTTGCCCTTAGAACAATGTGTTGCATACAATTTAAACTTTTTAATGACTGGGCTATTCTACCCCGTAAGTAACTTGCATAATGTGCAGTCCCAGTGGTGCTTCTAGCCATTCTGTTGAACTAATTTATTCTAATAAAACGTCTTCATTCTCTATATATTTGCAGATCTGTGTGCTCAGAATGAATTTAAATTCATCTGTAACACAGAATTCTTAACACAATTTAAGTAATCTTTCTATCCTAAGTATAGGTAGCTGGAAGATCGTCCTTTCCCATTAGTTCTCATGTATACTAGCTTTTCTAGTGAACAGGCAAAAAGTCCCCTTCTCTCAGAAGGGTGATCCTGAATATGTATCCTTACCAATACTGTAATTAGTGCTTAGAACAGAATGAAGTCTAACTGCACTGCAGTGGACTCTTCTGGGTAGGTCATACAGCTATGAAATACAGATGTAATTCCTCTTTCCAGACTTCAGTGTTGTCATTTGCATGTCTGGCTCAAATTAACTACATCTCAGAAGAATATTAGATGGAAGTGTAGTCTAGCTAGTGCTGGAAGACATACAGAAATGTGTTTGGAATTGTTTTATTCTTAGTTGCCTTCTAATTAAGGATGTGTTAGATACACATTAGGATAGCCCATTAGAGCAATGTACAAATATAGACTGACTTTCAGAAAACTGGGATTTTTTTCTACAATAATGTTTTAGAGCTCAGCACCGTCAAATAATCTTTGTGGCATTGTCAGCAATTTTCATGATTTCAGTTTACAAATTTTGATAGATTTCATCAAACCACCAAGCAAGCGCACATTTATCTTCCCTTTCCCTGGAAGCCCTTGTGCTCTTGACAAAATGTCACGGATCAAGTATGCCCTGAAAGCTGTGTCTGGAGATGGGAGTGGGATACTGTGGGTTAATTTAAAGGCCCCTTATGAAATAAGGGAGAAGATCATGATCACATTTCTAAATTTTTAATAAAATCCTAATGTATTGAAACCATTCCTGCATTACAGACCAATAAGGTTATGTTACTCAGTTTCAGGATTACAAAATATAACAGAGATGATAAACTTCCAGAAGCTTATATTTCTCTTTTCCTTCTGGTGATAATATAGTGTTCCCTGTGATAGAGAACTCATATTTCATCCGATATCTTTATTCATTAATCCCTTTCTAAGTTAGGGCTATGTTGTTCTTACTAGCTATGCATAGATATCATTGTTTACCTTAAAAAATGGCTAGAATTTTTTTCAGCCATTTGTATGGACTGTCTGCCTGAAAAAATGGGTAGCCAGTCCTTCAAATTCCTGCCAAAGTGAGGTTGTCCAGAGTGCTCCCATATACTCATATATAAATTTGTTTTCTGTACTGCTAGCAATTAGAGAGTGTCCAATATTAACAACAGTTCAGAAGTTCAGTAGCAAATGTTGGTTCTTTTTTCTTGCTGCAGCTATTTTGAATGAGCGCAAATGTATAGCAGTATGATAGCAAACTAATTGCAACACTGTGCACAGAGTATACTAAAAGTTCTCTGTGTTAACAGCTAAAACTAAGCTCTATCATATACTTGCATATTTTTTGCATTCTATGTGTATTTTTCTTTTACAAACTGTCAGACTTTAGGTTCAGTCCATGGGATCACCTTGGTGCTTTTTTTTCCACGTCGTCTTTCAACAACAGCAGGTCACCTTTCGAGATTCAGTAGTAGATTTCCTCAGGACATGACAACTTCCGTGAGAAAACCATTTGTCAGCACTTGAAATGGCTATAGGAGTTTCATTATAGACATATTCCTAAACTGGGACCCACATAGACTTTTTACTTTGTTGTAAATGCCAAATGCCCTTTTTCTCTAAGATTTTAGTTTGATTCTTCTGGAGTGGGTGGTTATAAGCAGATGCTTTCTCTGTGCAATGGGCTCAGGGCTGCCTTTATGTGTGATTTCCTCCTCTTCCCTTGCTTTCACCTTGTTCCTGTTTTTCTATTTTGAAAGAGATGAAGCCAAGACAGTTCTAGTATGCCTATACATCTAGTTTTGTCTGGCAGACCTATTGCAAATGTCCACTCAGCCCCTGGAAAGGTATTGTAGTTAGCTGCTCCATTCAGATCTGAAGTTACTACACCAGCAATTTAGTTGCTGGCCAGTTGGATATGTTGAACCGATTCGGAGCCTTACTGAATAAGAAAGCCTGATTATAGAGAAGACATGAGAAAAAAATACTTGTGCAAAGTTGATTTTAATGTAGTTTCAGAATTTCATCAAGTTCAGCTTGTCTATGGTCCCTCAAAGCTAGACTTGGCAGCAGAAGAAAAGGAATGGGAAGCATGAGATAAATCCAGGACTTCTGCTTTATTGCACTGACAGAACCAAATTGTTCAATCTGTTACCTCATCTGTTTCTTGCCATAGCTGGGAGATCTAAAGGTCAGGCCATCTCCACACAAAGAATATAATAGTTAACATGCTGTATCTCACAGTGTTACCAGCTGGCTAGTGCATTTCTCCTATTGAACATCTAGGCTCTTTCCCAAAAAGCATAAGCAACATCCTCTGCCTATTTTGGGAACGTGTCAAAGTCAAGAGTTTCTGAAGGTGGTAATGTGGAATGCCCAGTACTGCAGTGCTGCGCTTAACTCTGAGGGCCAGTACTTTTTCAAGAGTGTTGCAGTAATTTTCAGTTAGAAATAATTCTCATCGCCCTGCGAGATGCAACTTTTTGCTCCCTCTATAGTGGGTGCCACAGTGGTGTTAACTTAGAAAAGTTAACTTCCTGTCAGTTGTTTTTGTTTGAGGAGGCACCGCACGGTGCGTGCCTTTCCCAGTGCACCAGTACCCCCCCAGTCCCAGCTCTTGCTGCTGTGCCTGCCTGATGAGGATTGCAGCTCACAGCGAAGCTGGGGTTATAACTGCTCTGTACGTGTTACCCTTGGGTAGGAGTATGAAAAGAGAAAAATATGACTGCAACGCTATAGCTAGTGTATCAAAATGATGGTATTTGAGGTAATGAGTGACAAGAATAAATATGTATGATATTGAATTACAGATCCTGCTGTTGAAATTATTAAATCTGATCTTCAACGTGATGTCTTATGTAACGGTCTCTCTTGGATATATCAGATAAGTGTATAAGCAAAGTAAACATGCTTTGTCATCCTTCTGACCCTTCCTTAATTTTGTCAAATGAGTCCTCTGACTCCTTAGGTAGTTATCTTTACTCTCCCTCTCTGTTTTTTTTTTTTTTCCATATTTTTAATATATGTTAAATGCTGGAGCTCAGATGAAGATTAATGACATCTTCTTGGCAGCCTTTGACACGATAAACACAGAAGTAAAAAGTCAGTTATTCCTCCCTTCTCCCCTAGCTGTATCAGTGCTCTTGGATACATGAGAATGCTTTCTCACCCTGTATCCACTGGAAATGTCTTTCAAACTCTGAACTGTCAGTTTTTCTGTTACCCAGTACTTTGTTAATGGTTTTACATCCTAGCAACCATTTATCTTTGCAGAAACCAGACTGGTGCTCCGTATGACATTAGAGCTATGAAGTTAGCTCTGCTTAGAGGTGTCTGAATCTGTTAATATTTGTTGATTATTGCTGTGGACTGTCAGCAGACATCAGTGCATCAGTTATGCTTGTAACTTTAAAACTTAAAGGTTTCTGAACTTTGGTCTTGGAGAATACCAAGATGACAGGAAACAAAAAAATCACGCGATACCAGGATGAGTTGGCCGGTCTGCTAGTCCGTGATGGTCCACCAGCACGTTTAATACTGATTGGATTAGTGCTTTTGGCCTCCGAACACCTCTTGGTTTCTGTTGTCTGAAGCCTGCAGGTTGGTGATCGTGGCTGATGCTGCTGTGTATGTTGGACATGTGCCGTGGGGAAGGGGAGACGTGCCTCTGGGCCGTTGACAGTGGAAGCACCTGGTTAGTGAGTTGTGACAAAAAGACGTAATGCCCTTTATCACGTAGCTGGTTGGCTAGGGGGTCACGCAGCAAAAATTCAGCTCTCTTTCTTGGATATTAGGGATCGTTGCCTCACAACTGTCAGTCTGGACTCCAGTTGCTCACTTGACAAATCAGATGGATATAAAAGATATTATTTTAGAGTAGTGTACCTTATACTTCAGTGCTTTGTATAAAGTAGTTGAATTACGGATGAGAGGTAGGGGGAAAATGTTAAGGTTTTAAAAATGAATTTATGGATGGGATTTATGTTTCTGAGATGCATGTGCCAAAAAGCAGTGCATTTAACAACATAAGAGGAAAGGAAAGCCTTTTGGTAAATTCTACTAGCTAATACTTCTTATTTGGCTAATATAATGACTAAATCCTTACTGTTAAGTGTTTTAAAATTCTCATTTATTACTATGTGGGGAGAAGTATTGCCTTAACTTGTTCTTTATTTCTCTAAATCTTGATAAGGTAACCAGCCCACTGTTAGACTTAACAGAAGACCTTTGTTTTCTGTTTCAGCACTTACTTGGAATGCACGTGACTTTTGACGGGGGGGGGGGGGAGCGAGCAAGAGAATCAATATTGATACAAGTATTGTATTGTTTTGTCCGTTGAGATGTGTCTCTGGTTTTAGAAAGCTGTCTAATTGTGATTTACTTTTAATCCCTAAAAGGTGCCATACTTGGCAGATCAGAAACACAAGAGTGTATCTACTACAACGCTAATTGGGAAAAAGATAAAACAAATCGCAGTGGCATTGAACCTTGTTATGGTGATAAAGATAAAAGACGACACTGTTTTGCTACATGGAAGAATATTTCTGGATCCATTGAAATTGTGAAACAAGGTTGCTGGCTGGATGATATCAACTGTTATGATAGGTAAGCAAGTTTTCCTGTAAATTTTTAATTTATTAGTAATTTTAAACTCTTTTGCTTGTCCATGTTCTATACAACACCTCCCCTACAACATTGGCTAAAAGAAATGTAGGTAGAGTACACACATATACACATATATGCACGCACACACACACACACACACACACACGCTTCTCTTTTCCTCACTTATCTGGAGTGAGAGAACTAAATTCATCCAACTAGTTTGTCACCTTTACAGAATGGCATGAGCTACCTTTTTATATGCTTATTTCCTTATTTACTTTTTACATTTTCTCTTTAATTTTTTACTTTTGATATGTTAAAAATCATCTTTTAATTTTTTCATGTTTAGGCCATTAATAATTATCAAACAATACAAATGTAGTTATGAAATTAAAACGTGAAATTAGAGTGTTTAGTTTTCCAAAGTCTTTAGAGTAGGAAACTCAGCACACTGGCTCTGCTCTTTACTTAAACATGGAAGCGTTGTGTCTGTTTATTAAAAGCTCAGCTCAGTGGCAGTTCTATGAGATGCAGAATATCTTAAAATCCCAGTCATTTTTGTGTAACAGATGGTCTAGCAAAGTACCCATGAACAGTAACAGCAGGACTTGAGTTTTGTTGCATACTGGCTGAATAAAGGTCATGACTCTTAAGAACTAGTATTGTAGTTCTTTGAAGTATTGGACTAACCTTTTTTTGACAAAACAGTTATTGTTTGGAAAGGGAGGACATTTAAGAAAATAAATGCGCAGTGGGTCTTTAAGATGTAGTTCTGAAGTATTGAA